TCGCCTGGTTGTAATACTATTGGTACACCATTTCGCCATACAATCCTCGTAATAACTGTAGTAGTTATGATGTAGTATGTAACAGTGCGAGTGGTACGATTTCCGTCTTCGTCAATGTATTCCTCTACTTGTTCGTCAGGCTTTAGAACAGTTTCCTTTGCTTCAGTTATWTCCATTTTGGGGGGCATAAYGGAGACACTGAAACTGTCAAGTTGGTTTTTCTTTACGGCTTCGACATTAAAAGGTGATTTCCTTTCAGACTCGAGTTCTTCAATTCCAACAGGTTTTCTACTCTTGTCGAGTACAAARTGCTTTGTGGTAACAGTCTTTTTTACAGTCCTACGTACAGTCCGCCCTTCATTATCGACATATTCTTCAACCTCAGAATCTGGTGACAATTCATCAGTCTCATACTTTGACGATTTTGACAGAACCGGAAGGTCAAAGCTTTCAATATTTTGTTTTGATATTGGTGTTACTGTAAACTGTGGCGTGTCGAATGTTTGTTCTATAGCAGGTTCGTCTGCATCATTACTTGGAACCTCGACTCGTCGACCATGTTTGTCGATAATATAACGCTTGGTAACATAGGTTCGTCTAACAATTTTCCTGACAATGTTTCCTTTTTCATCAACATACTCCTCTACATCACCGGGTTGATTATCAGATCTGCCTTCGGCGCCCTCTACAACAGATTTCCGAGTGGACACATCAGGATTTTGTTCATCAAAAAGGTATTGTTTTGTTGTAACAGTTCTCTTTACAATACGTCTGACAGTTCGTCCCTGATCATCAATATACTCTTCATACTCTGTATCAGAAGGTATATCATCAGCCTCAGGTTTTGCAGGCAATTGTGTCTCAAATGACTCGAGTTGACTAGCTTTTGTTGGTGTTACAGTAAAGACTGGTTCGTCAGTATCGGCTGGTTTCTCAGCCCCTTCAGTAGCCTAGTAACAAAACAAGTGAAAAATTGAACTCACTCTATCTAAATATCGCTATCATCTACTAGAATGGCATGAAAAATAGCAGTTACGAATCAGAAGTTATGTAATCCATCTTGTATGCGGACTTCGAAACATCACAACATGGCCTTTACTTAGCATAAATGTTATAAAAATCGAAAAGAAGACACGATAATCTTTCCTTCCGAATAAGACTTCTGCTCCATATCATCCAGTTCCATATCATCCAGTATCATTCAGTTTCAGCCATTCAAGAGCTCCAAGATATCTTTATTACTGTAGTGGAATATTACGAAAGAGCGCGTTTTTGAGACAATTAGAGAGTTTTAGATACGCTTTTACGGCGAACGCCAAACGTCAAAACTGATCACGTGATCACTGTTTTTCTGTATTAACGCTCCGTTCCTTCGCGATTGTGTATAAAATAGATCACTTTTTCGTTTATAAGCGCATCACTATTCCTTTCGAAGCGTTTTAACGTTTGTTTGAAATTTTGTGACAAAGCATAAAAGCAACCAATATGACGTTTGGCKTTTGCAGTAAACGAGGTAAACGAGAATCTAAAACTCTGTATTAGACCAAAACCAAACCCCTATCTTAGACATTTTTATAACACACAGAAACATGAAGTAAAAATTACTGGAAAAAGTTCTACAATCAAACACAATCAGAGAACGCAATTCAAGTCAACAAAAGCTCATCTATAAGCAGTTTGTTGATTTGAAAAGCTTTGGGTCGACATTTTGACTTAACMGCAACCKATTTAGATTTCCACAGCAAACTCAAAAGTTGAAATTGGGTGATGGTCGACTGGCTTTCTTTTCGAGCTTTTATTTGTATTGACAACAAAAATACCTAGTGATATAATCAAATACTCTATATTAACCATCAATACTACATGAATGGAGATATTGTAAGATGCAACTTTTAAACCGACGGATGGAAACTGTTTACGAATGATTGCAAATGGATGTTTGAAGTCACCTCCTTTCCATATATGAAAAATCTAAAATGGGACCGCAYTGAATGCTGGAAGACCATGACTCTTAAAAATACTAGAAATCTGTTAGCCCATTTGATTCAATGTTTAGCATTCTTTTAATCAATGGTAAACAATGGGACTTTATTATTGTAACAAAGACACTTCAGATACAATAGGGATATAAGAAAACAAAGACGTGCCCCTTGCAGGTTACGTTAATGTTTGGAATACTAATCAGCTMATTTCATTGTCACATTCTCCACGCTGCATGTATTTTTAATTCATCTCTTGGAGACAGCACCAAGGAAATATGGAAATCTCATCTCGACATCACTACTAAATCAAAATAAAATTGCGTTAATTTATTCGAGATGATACGGTATATATATATATATATGATTTTTTTTCCTGTTAAATTAATCACTTCAAATCTCTTCTCAAAGAAAACTTAATCGATTGCAAGAAAAACAAATAAAAATTAAAAAGCTCTATATATGCATTGAGGTCAGAATGTCTTCCCGGGAATCTTTAATAACCCGCGAAACTTTACGCGAACGTGACATATAATTCAAAACATAATTCATTGCAATGTTCATTCCATAAGAAATTTCTGTTCTATTTTTAAATATGTCAACTGATAAAAGTCATTCCAGCTTATGTCTCTCACCCGCATTATATGATCCGTTGTCTTCAAGAATTCTAAATTCTAATTTCTAAATTAAATAAGGTGTAAAATTACGAATTACCATGAACTTCAATGAGTTTCCCACTGTGCCGCTCGAGTTTGAAATCCATCGTAACCAGTGGGTAAGCCAATTTTACATGCAAGGGGCAGACCTTTGAAGGTTTGTTAATGTAGTATAAACGTCCTATTTGTAAGGTGCCTTATAAAYATAGCGTGTTTCCTCAAATATTTCACCTCATATCAAGCTAAGCCATATTTTTTGAAAGTCAGGTCGAGCATGACGTTCTTTATCTATTATCTTGAGATCCTGAGTGCTAGCAAATCGCTCTGGTATTACATGGACACGAAACAAGCGACCTTTAATTCGCWGACGAAAAATGTCTTCCTAAATGAGCAACCAGAACACAAATTCTGGCATCGAACAATTAAATTATCCTCTTAATACATTATAGCTTTCAAAAAAAGGTTAGCGCTCTCCACAGACAGCGAGGTACAGCGTATGGCAAGASAATAATATGGAGCAGAAGTATCATACATTTAGACTACTCACTGGATCCGCGGTTTGTCGTCGAAATCGGCTGAAAATGCTACTTAGGAAGGAGAAACTCATCTCGAGACACCATGTATAGCTATCGGCAAATGAAGAGCTCTCATTCAAATAGATTTGACCAAGAACCGCTCACAGAGGGGAGCGAAAGTATAACGCGAATTAAGATCACTGGTTCTTGTGATACGTCTGGAAATCTAGACGCAAGCCTCATAGGTCACGACATACTGATAGGGTGACAAGTTATTTTGTAATAGTATTGCAAAGATACACCGATGACCCAATTAACAAGATTTCCACGTTGTATTTTACAGTGTGCAGAGAAAAAAGTATCATTTCTAAGGCCAATAGAAATAAATAAATAATAAAAATAATTGATATGATAAGGACATTATTGACTTAAGGTGTGACATAAGTAGATCACGCTTGTCACGCGAACGATTCGTGCTTCACGGTTGCCTTTCATTTCAGTAACGCGTATAACAAATTGATATAAATACTCTCTTRATAATTTCCTTTTCTCCCCTGAGGCGTAACAGCACCGCTTTCATACTATTACAAAGGTACCACGTGGCGCACCGCATCAAAACTGGCTCTAGAATTCTCTAGACTGGCAAGCGGTAATTTGCACAACAACACTGAAGTTGCATCAATTACAAATTGCACAACTTGACGTGTATGGCCGGTTTGGATATTAGCCTATCGAAAATATGATAAGAATTGCCATACGAGGAAATACAACAGAGTAAAACAAAGCCATTTGACAAAAAATATATTGATTTTCCACTTTTAAGAGTCTCGACAGACGGTAATAAAATGCGGATAGTATTAGTATAGGGTTTATTCACGATCTCTCACAGCAACCGGCATACCGATTGTGGAATTCAAATGAAAAAAAAAAGAATGCTAAACACTCTTAATGCTGTCTTCATTTAGTTTGATTTATAGAACGTGCACATTGACGAGTGGCTGCCCCGTTGCTATTGCAATTAGGTGCTCCGAGATGATCACCCCAGGATSACTAGTAATTTTATCAAGGAACAGGATCACCCCATCGGAAATCTCAACTGGCRATTTTCAAGATTTCAGAGAGCAGTTTCAAAAAAGATCTACAATCATGAGTAATAGTAGTCAACACAGCGCTAATACGAGGACAGACAATGGAAGAACATACAACGTGTACAAAAGTGTTCCTGAACAAAAATGGGTGTGGCTTGCGGTAAAAAGCAAGCTTAGATAAAGCGACGGAAATGAGAGAGGAAAGACTAAWTGTGACCTGGAATATAAGAGATGAGACCCGGAATATAAGAGAGAATGAGTTTGTTTCATTTATCCGAAGTCACGTGATGATGACAGCAGTTTCATGCAGTTGCGAATACCTTGAATCTCACAAAGTCGCATGCACGCAGACGGCGCCSTTTTACGAAAACCAAAGCAAGTAAAATAAATAACTTTTGCGAAASTTGAACAAAAATATACAGTATACATTACATGACGTAGTACAGTCTAATCGCGTTTGTACCAATTCACAAGAAAAAGTAATTGAAAAGAGTAAAAACCTGAGGGACATCGTTTAGATAAACCTGTACATAATGGATGAAGAATTGTACAAAAACAGAACACCTTCTGTGCATGGGTCAAACAAGTACGGTATACTGCACTTACCAGCTTTCCCTTTCCGAGATACACACTAAGTTCTTTTAACTTGGCCTGAAGTTCACGCCATTGGTCACCGAGATCTTCCACCTTTGAGCTGATTGGYTTAGTATCTTGGTGAGTATTGTGAAGGTGCATTAGCATTTCRTCAGCGGATTCCTTCATGTTTGTCATGTCCTCACTTAGCCTATCGATATCTGATTCCAGACTCTGCAGCAACAAGAATTTGATTTAAGAACGTGAATACTCTACGAAACTTACACTTACCGAATGAAAAATAATGACTGGCAAACTATCTKCCGTACTATWGTTCATCACTTTGTCTACCCGACCTTATTCCGCTGACCAAAAGGCTAACACACTCTAGGCTCGGGAGTGATGAATGATTACCAAGGATGATTTCTGAATGATTACTTTATTTACTTTTACCTTTAGCTATTTGAAAGTCACACTTTCTTAATAGCTCTAGCGAGCTGCCTGGAATACCGGTTAGACTGATTTCGCACTTAAAGAATCATAACCAACCGCCGTACCTAGCGAGCCGAAGCGCCATTTTAGGTGGACACGAAAATGGCGGATTCGTAGGATTTCTTAAAGTGAGCGCGAATCGTCTTCTGTCCTTTCAGTTTTGACAGAAATACCTTTAACTAAGTACCTCACAGGTACTAAAAATCTGTAATCTATTGTATGCTTGACGCATTTAAACGTATGTAAACAATAATACGAGCACGCAAGGTACGGCGGTTGGTTATGATTCTTTAACTGACTATCTGGCCTCTACCACCACCAACAGACCGCTGACAAAAGCTAGGGMAAAATCTGGGCTCGAGATTGACAAATGATTTGCATCAATACTACGTGAACGATTCCTTACCTTTAAGTCGTTATAAATATCCCTTGCGTCGTTGCCAGGCTTCATAAGAATATCAATGTGGTCTAGTTTCTGTTTTAACTGCACATTCAGCATACTGGCACTATCCTGGAAGTACCTTAAAGTATTCCATTTATTCTCCAGATCTTTCTGACGTTCGTTACTAGTAACAATCACACGATCCATTCTTTCTTTCAGCATATCCATTTCGTCTTTGACCTCTCTGGACCCAGGAACACTCTCTCGGCCAGCGATGAGCTCGTTCCCAGCCTTCAGGACAGCGTCCATGTCAGATTGCGCTTGAAAGACATCATTTTGAATTTTCTGTTTGAAAATAATATACATTTYGTAAGTAAAATTTAGGGTTGTATTCTGGATTTTTTACTCAGATGAARGATTAACGTCCGAAAGGTCAGTAAAGTCTTTCTTTTTTACGGTGTTAAATTTATCTTTTTACACAACTGTTTATTTAGAAACACCGAAGCAGCCCACTCTAGTTTACCGCTAGTTTTCACCATTATAAAGACTAGTACATCGCACAAGAGCAGACATCGCATAAGAAATCCCACATACTTKCATCAACMATTCAGTSAACAAAAAACYATCAACATCATACCTTGTGTTCTAAGATCTGCTTCTCGATAGTGTCCAGGTCCCCTCCAACAGGTTCTAATTTGGAGACTTTCTTCTCRACCTTGTGCAAGACGATGGTAAAACTCCTGACCATTTTCCTGTACCTTTCAAGTTGCAGAATGGTTGTCTCTACGATGATCCGCCGTGCTTCCATTGCCTTCCATATGTCATCATAACGTGTTAACGCAGAATCGAGGTCCTGTTGCATAGGAGAATGGGTTCCCTGTTCTGGTTTGTCCTGGGTGGTTGTCATGGTRACTATAACCTTACCGAGACCGACCAAGAGATCAAGTCGRGCTTTGTACTGYACTGCTTCTTCTTGCATAGTCTGARTAAAAAATGGRATTAAAGGATACTCAGAAATGAAAAGGTCGTATTGTAACTACTAGTGCAGAAATCGTAGCAAAGAAAGTAGGCAGAGAAACAAGGAAACAATGATAAATAAAACCAAATAAATAAAATATTTTAGAAACCTTTTCTTCATTAATCTGAGCTCCAAGCACATCAGGATCAACTCCCACTGGTTCCATGCTAACCAGTTTTTCCTCCGTGACGTTAAGCCACGTGGTTATGGTCTTGAGTACAATGTGGAATCGCTGGCTTTGTTCTTGCAGTTCATCAAATTTAGCACCAATGTTCATAAGTTTAACGCAAAGTGTTTGCCAGTCCTTATTTACTCGATCTAGTGTTTCAAGTATGACTGACTGCTTTGTTCTCTCCAGGTTGATAAGTTCGTGACCTCCTTGGTTCACACCTTGTAGGGCAGGGCGCATGTGTTCGACTTCCATATTGAAGTACTACAAGAAACGTTACATAAAGAAATAACTAATAGCAAATATTAAGTAGACAATAATGCTATTGAAAAGTAGATCATTCACGTTCAAAATGTCATCAATTTTCAATATGCAGTGAGAAACCATTATATGTGAAAGAACGACGTCTTTGCTTACTATATTTGCTRACAAATTGAGTAATCTTCAAAATCTTACAGAGGAAGTCCAACAACTCGCAGTAAACATAGAAAGCACTAAAACGAGTTTCGGAGATTACTCTAGCTAAGGCTTAGTTTCCAATGATCTTATCAAACATGCATAGAGTCGCCTCACATCGCCTTATAGAAATTTAATATATACATCAAGCTTCACCTGTAGCTTCTCTTCAAATACAAGTATATCAGGAGTGACAAGCTCCCCAGAGTCTAATCGCTTGATCATGGTCTGTTCCCAGCGCTCAAAGTCTTTAGCAATCATAACGAATACACTCTTCATYTCTTCTCGTCTCTTGTCCGCTTTACCATTGACTTCCTCCCATAGTTTGTTCAACTGCTTAAATTTCGATTCCTTTTGCTTTTTCTTCTGGATTGTGAACATCTCGTTGAGCGCTTCAACTGAAGTCCCAAGTCGATTCAGTTCGTCTTGGATAGCCTACGAAGAAAAACCGGATCCCATTACAAGTATTCAGTTTTAACTGAAAAAAATCGTGCGCTTTAAAGGCTGTAAATTTGATGTAAATATAATGTAAGTGTCCAAAATTCTGTAAATTTGATGTAAATGATTTCCATTAAATTTACAGAATTTTGGACACTTACATCATATTTACATCAAATTTACAACCTTTAAAGCGCGCGATTTTTTCCAGTGTTTGAAGACTTTCTACAGATTCATCATTCAGTCATACATTGTTGTAATCAAACACCCAATTGAAAACATGTTGTCGGGTTCAAAAAGATTACATCGTCTTAGATTCGATTACTATACCATTTTTTCTCACCAAAATCCATCCTTATCAATTAGAGTATTCATTACCATCATCATAATATCACTRTTATAATCATCACCATCATCATAACTTTTATTGTTACCATTTCCATGAGCATGCGTACTGCAAAATCGAATAARTCATATTTGCTTACTTTGAACTGCCGAGCTTCTTCACGAACTTCATTAAGACTTCGTGATACTTCCGGGAGTTTATCGATTCTTTTCTTTAGGTCTTGTAAAGATTTAATGGCAGCATCTAGGCCTTCTTTGAAGTTCTGTGACGTGGTGAGTGCGGTTTGGAGTTTGGTTTCATAAAAGGTAATATTGAGGCATAATTCGTCGTATCTTTGTCTTATTGGCTTGCCTTTTTCAAAGGTATGAGTGTTAACCATACCCTCGATACTGTGGCCCAAGACGTCAAGAGAGATGATTTCTGGTTGGTGYGAGTTMACTTCTGCCTGAAATGCCTARAAATACGATATAATAGTCGTTAACAATGAGTCTTTGCATATTCACTAGGTAATGAATCAGGTACTTGATCAGGTGTTTGATCTAAGCCAATCAGCGCGCAAGGTACCATCCCACCAAGCATCGCAAGCTGAGAATATTTTCCTTCTCACTCGCGCAGTAGACGATCGAATCAGTCTTTTTCTAGACCACGATAATAATGCGCGCACTGAATGATGGGATGGTGCCTTCATTGAATCAACCAGGCGTTTCTCGTRCACGCGCACCGATCGCCTGGCAGTGCTGGGACTGGTTATCTGTAAATGCTTAGATTAAATTCGGAAAACGCAGAAAAATGACGACGTGAACAATAGCAACAACTAAAGAGACAAACTTGACAGCAATACCATGCAAAAGAAAATATCACAAAAAGCAACAACGACGACMGAGAACAAGAAATTGAGGAGAAAAAAACAGCAAAAAACAAGGGTAATTACAAAAGATATATAAGAAATAGTGCGGCAACATCCTCAAAAGCAAAAAACGCAAATACATAGATAGACCAACATGAACAAAGAAATCATGCATTAGTTTATGCCCTCAACRCTGTTTTATAGCTATAAGTAACACATACCTTAAGCTCGTCGATCTCCCTTCGTATCTTATCGGGATTGTTACCGATAGTTTGAGCGGTCTTTCTAGCCAGACGTTCCTCTGCAGAATTCAACCAAGGGAGGGTTTGATTAGCCTTGATATCATAGTCTTTCAACTGCTGCCAAGACTTGTCCAGTAAGGTGCCGCGCTGTGTCAGTAACAAAAGCAAGCGATTGTATCTCTCATTAATATCGGAAAGCTTGTTTTCTAGAACCCAGGACTTCTCGTTTGGATCGCCAAGTGATTCTTTCGTAGACTGGCCATCGTCGAAATTTGATATAGATCTTTCCAGCTCGCTGTGAAATACCTGATGTGAAGAAAAGCGAAACTTCAGATTAATACAGTAGAATAATAGAAATAAAAGCGTTTGAAAAAAGCCAAAAACAAAAACAAAAAAAGGAAAAGCGGCGAGTGTATTTTCACTCTACTAAAGACTTGTTCTCCTTTAGCACATGCAATTTCGCTGATCAACTCAACTTAGTTAGCCCTTAAAGGTAATTACAGAATGTACATAAAATTTACAGACTTTTTAAAAGGAYATTTTGTTCGTAAATTGAATTTACAGTATATTTACATATTATTTACAAACTCTGTACAATAATCAGATGCTCAAGGCATTATCCAAAAAACTTTTACATGCWAAAAAGGTGCATGCTGGCAAACACCAACTGTCATTCTAACTAACAMGCTTTTAAAATTTGCGGATAAAAAAAAGGTAGATATCGCGTGTACCAGACTAGAGGGTTGGATSTTTGTTGATTTTCAACAAATGTAAGATTTGGAGTATTAAATAGGACCATTCAACGTAATGCCACAAGGCCCTGATTTTTCCGTCCCACCCTTTTCAAATGATTGCAAAAAGAAATTTGTACCTTTGCTTCGTGAAGAAAGTCTTCTCCGCTTTGATTGACAGCTTTCAAATCCTTCTCGTGATCTTTGACGTCATCAACAAAATGCTAGAAGAAATGATGAGTCAGTATTTCATAAGATAAATTACAACATGCCAGGATTGAAAGGGAGAGAAAAGTTAGGACAATCCTAAAACAGGATAAATTCAAATAACTTTAATACTACCGCGAAAAGAGCTCAACRGTTCTAAGRTTTAAATAACGTCGGTTTGTGGTTTCTGTCAACCAAATTCCTAGAATTATGATTATTTTTTCAGAACATTTTACCTCCGCGCACATGTTGCTGAATTGAAGGATGGGCGGCGAATAATTAATTTGCCCGGCCCAGTTCGTGACTAACCTTTATAGCCTACCTCAAAGATGTGGCAGACATCTTGGCAGGGGGGAAAATATATAAAAAAAAGTTCCAAGGATTTTGTCTTCAATTGATATTCAATTCTCACAAAAAACAAATATGAAAGTTATCACTATTACGATTTTTGGGTTTGCTTTGCCCCAGTGCCCCCTATACTGCCTTCAAAATGACAGCATTATCACAAAAATGAATTTACCTTATGAATGAGAAGCCTTTGCTGAGCTGTTTCGACATCATTGACGTTATGTAGAATATCTGCACTTTGCTCCTCTGCTCTTTTCAGCCATGCCTGTTTAATTCATTTAAAAGACATTATCGTGCCATACTACTGACGCATTAGATAGCTTATAATATAATTTGAATTCGCAAGGAATAACGTGTTGCTTGTAGTAATTCAGCATATATATAGTCGATGTTTACCGGAGCAACAAGCTGTCAGTAGGATASATAAGGCTATTGTTTTTCAAACAACAGCTCTTATGTGTTCTTTTGTAAAAGGTTTTTGTTCCTTAAACTTATAAATGAAAAGGTTATTTTTTTAAATAAAAGTCGAATGATGCGGAGCAATTTTGAATGCAAAAACTTGTTTTGATGGATATGAAAAGAAAACCTTTTCCTCAAATAACTGTAGAAAAACGTTTTTGACAAATTTGGTCACATGAGCAATGAAGCCTTAAATGCAAACTTACCAAAAACGGATGAAGAAGTTCTTCAAATTTAGTGAGTTTTTCATGTATCAGCACTAGTCTCATGTASCGATTGTCAAGTTCACTTTGAAGTTTGTTCCATCTTGCCTCAAGACTGGTCATCTTACCGTCCAATTCACTCTTCTGAGCCGGTCGGAGTTGCTCCGMTGTGGTCTGCAGAAACCTCTCACTCTGCTGCAACGTTGTTTCCAAAGGCTGTTTACGTTCATATATGGCTTTAGTAAGCTTCTGTTTCCCCGTCAAAACAGAAAAACGCGCGTGATGAGGTTTTCCCGCCAAAACGCAGGATTGACGAACGAGTGTGGATGAAGCGATGAAGTGTTGATACGTGATAGATGGTGAACGTGTTGAAAATTCCCGCCAAAATGATAAACGTATGGAAAAAAAGCAAAAATACATTTAGCAATTTATCTATGATTTAAAACATGCTTTGAGATTAACAATTAGCATTTCTTATAATTTACATCGTTTAATTATTATTCAATTATATTTCGCGAAAGCTCGATTTACGTGTTGTACTAGCTTCTTGAATTGTTTCTTTTACGGTTCGTTGCCACCGACGTCATGTACTTTCAAGCATTTCTACTTAACTTCAATAAAACTTGTTGAAACTACATTAAACTAATGAGATRAGATTTAGCAAGACAAACGCCAGATGCCTAAAGTAAATAAACAACTTGGCGCTTAAATTCCATGACTCCTTCGTGTTAGCTTGACCAATTTGTGAATCTATTTAGAAGTAATTACCGTAACTTAAAGCACACGCCGTCCGGCGAAAGGACCACTCAACGTATCAACGTATTTAGATCAAATAACATTCAAGCATTTGCACAAGGCATTGAGTACACGAACWGCACTTGAGTCTATCGTTTTTGATAGCGGATTCCAAAGTAACACTCACGCCAAGAGATCAGCAATTATAATTGATAAACAATTGAATAGTACAAAATACGTGCTCAGCTGCTATTTTCAAAGTCCTCTCAATTCAAGTGCCCTAGTGAGCTAAAATCGTTTTCAAATCACCTTCCACTTACCAAATCTCACAGCTGTTGTGTTATTAASCGACCTAATACGAATAACGATCCATTCGACCGCCATGTTATCKCTCGTTGCTCAAAACCTTRCTGTYGAACAACGCTAAACTTTGTGTATTCAATGCCATCATGGGTCTGGAAATCCAAGCTATTTCCTGTTAACCTTTGTAATGCAGTTTATCGGCAAACTGTTTCTAGTTTGTTATTAATAGTTRGCAAAGCGGGACCACAGAGCTTCCCGTGAGATCGAATTATAACCGCGAACAATATCAGAACTCTATCTAGTATTAATCTTCTGTTTACATAATCCGTTGTCCATCACAATCGATGCTGAACGAGCAGATTTCGCTCATAAAGTGCCTTTCAAGATTTGTGGTACGATAAGCCTCTTCATTGAACCCTTTATCCGGAATAGGAATGTCTTAATTCGTACGACCTCTAGTTGGAACAATAGGAATAAGGAGTCGAAAAACAAAAAATTGTGTACTCAACAATTACAKGTCAGCCAGCAACAATAAAAATAGTAAGTGTTTATCCTTTGCAAAARCGCACAAACGGAAAAAAAATATGAAGGAAAAACTGTTTTTGTTTTTAAGTTGAATTTTTTAATCACCCAAAACTTTGTGCAGTTAAAAGTTCAAGGTTTTAGCTATGCTATCAATTGAAGTAAGTACAAGAAAAATGTACAAAGTGAATCATATTTCAAACATTTTAAAATCAACGTTAAATCAGTTTGAATTTGAGAATTTTAGCTTATTTTTTAAGTGAATCGATTAAGTTTAGCTAGTGCTTTTTTGTTGTTGTTGCTGTTGTTTTTTGATGTTGTTGATGGTTTTGTTTTGTTTACTTTTATTACTTKTAAGTGCTGATTAAAAAGAAATGAGTGGAAAGAAATAAATGTTGGTACTACAGTGTCTTTTTCAGGAATATTATTATTAATAGTCAGTGGTTAAATAAGCTTTAAAAATAAGCAGATTCTCAAGGTCGCATTTACTCTTTTACTGATTTATAATCTATATCAATATTCTCAATAATATGCCGTTTCTGGTATTTTTGCTAAAAAGTATTACTCTGCGAACAGAGCTACTTTTTTCACCCGCCGAGAAGCGAGAGAAAAATATTTTTCAAAAGTCGTAACATTTTGCCATTTGCCCACACGAATTTTTTTGATGATCCTGCTTTAATTCCGCTGTAGGGAATCCGGGAGAAGGCTTCCGTCGCTCGTTCCCCTGTATCCATGTACAAAGTCTGTTAGACCTTGTTCAAAAAGTTTAAGTCCCCCCGCTGAGGTCTTCCGCATGTCATGACATGATGTTTTACCCTCTAAAACGACTCTAAATCGTGTACTTKTTTAATAAATTTACTGGCTGTAAAAAAGTTAAACAAATAGCCAACMTTTGCTTGATCTGAGCTTGTCAACAGATTGAGTCGAATTCTCTGATTGGTTGATTAATTTACTAGTCACCATTTCAAATTTCGAAACSAGAACAAGGTCTGACAGATTTTGTAGGCAGGGATATTATTTCTGGGAGCGAGCAACGGGCGACAAAAGATTAATTCTGGGTTTCCGAGGATGCTTAATAATGAGTGCCTTCAAGTTGCCCAAATTTGGTGTTAGGTTGACCAACATTTGTCGTTTGCCCCARGATTCAGTAACAGTCATACACTATGAACGTTATCGAGAACTTAACCTATCCATCCTCCCTCCCATTCTATGAGGAATACTCTCAACAATCCGGGGGAGTAAAGACAAACCTTTTGTTCTTCAATCTGTTCCTCAATTTGCTTGACGTCAGCTGGGGTTCCTGTCTGTTCGGTAACCGCTTTCTCCATATCATTGACCCAATCGAGTAGCTTTTGTATAGACGAACACCATTCTACACAAGCCTTCTCGACCTCTTTATGCTCGATGCCATGTCTTTTTAATATTAATACTACCGTTTCCATAGTACTTTGGATTTCGATTCGCAACTTTTCGTAGCGTTCTCGGACGTCGGCAGCYGTTGCCTGCATTTCGTTGCGACTTCGTTGGGTGGTCGTGAATGCTGGATTTTCTGCTTCACGMGATTCGGGAAGGTGATGGAGACTGCGACGGTATTTTTCAAGAATTGCCTCAAAGTTCTGTTAATGGTATAAAGTGACAATTATTAAAGAGGTTTTACAAAATCAAATAATAACAGCCAGGTGGGGATAATATGTCACTCACACTGATAYTTTGGYGCGAGAACTAAAACTCCCATCATACATTGTTMAACAAAATGGCGTCGATGGACATTGCTTATTGCAACCATCTATGTACAGCAAGATACCGMAMAATCGCAACTTTCCCACTTACCACTGATTCCGTGACATAGTCACTCGATTTCGGTGCGATGTCTTGGATAGGAATTTCATGCGAGCACACTTCAGTGTATAAATTCTAAAAAGGAAAGCAGTTTTGTTACGAATGAATCTACAATGTAGCTTTCAGAGACAATAATGCTCATATAATGGCCCACAAAAAAATGATGGTGTTAGAGTATGAAATACTTTGGATGAAATAATACTTTTGTTTGACGAGAATTCTTTAAAGGTATCTATCGGTATTGCAACCTCAACCGCTGTCTCGCTTTAAGAGGCAAGGGTACCATTCAAGATGGCACTGGGAATTGCAAAAAGGAGTATTGGCAAATATTCGTATACCATGCAGGAACAACAAATTCAAGCGCAACATCATCCGAATTACAGTATACAGTCACATTGAATTTCCAGTCCCTTGTTGTTAATAAACCATTTCTCTCCCATCCATTATTCATTTACCGTTAGTTCTTCCATTCTGTTTTCCATCCCTTCAGCTTTGTCTTGAGGTTCGTCGACTCCGTCTCCCAAAAAATGAAGTTTTTGTTCGGTTTCTGTCAACCATGTCTCCTCGGTGTTKAGTAGTGTGGAATAAGTATGTAGTTTTTCTAATGATCGTGTAAACGTCGCCATCCGTTTCTCGACTTGGTTGTTAACAGCACCCCACCTTTCTAAAAGATCTTCTGTCTTTGCTCGATCTCGTTCACTTAGTTTAGGAAGAGCAAGTCTGACGTCTTCGACTTTAAGATGTCGTGGTCTCATCTCTTTGTTATAAATATCCTATAATAAACCATAATTTAGCCAATTAAATCTTTTAAGTAAAGTATCGTGAATTGCTTTCTACCAAAAAGGAACAAGTTTGTCAAGGATATTAGAGCACACGATTTCAAACAGAAAAAGTCAAATGGTTCCAGCATCTTTGAAGAATAACGGTTTCTAAATATGATATGGATTCAGAGATCGATTTTATTTGGGATTATAAACTTTGGAATCTAGATTACAGCCGATCGTAAATGGTTTACTTCTGAATTAGTGATAAGATATATAAAATATTAATAATTACTATGTCACGACCCTGAGAATAAGGTGCTTTCTAAAACAAAAATGGATTGCCTCAAGAAAGATTTACCTCTAGTTGGTTCAGTTGTTGCTTCAGTTCTTTTATTTCTGCTGTTAACCCAGGCTGTTGAATGAGAATAATTTCTATTCGATGCAACCAGTCCTCGAGGTCCTTCACAAACGATGCTACATGTTGAATAAACTCCAACCTGCAAATAAATCAGTCAAGCCCGTTTATATTGGTAAAAATTGGTAAAATCGCCACTGTAAACTGTAGAGATATCTAAGGGACATGCTTAACCGGCATTCAACACGGTCTTATTTCAGATTTTTCATACATGTTATTATAATGCGACTTCAATTATACATTTGCAATCCGTTTCCATTCTTCCGTTTTAAGATCGAATCTTACAATATATCAATTCGTCAAGGAATAATAAATGATCAGTTTTTCCTTTCCATTTCGTACATACACCTTTAAGACATTTGCGAACGARCAGCTTGAACTGCAAAYAGAAGTACATAACCAATCTTTTGCGAATAATAATCTCTTTTTAAAGGGTTAAAARGTTTCAGAAACAATGTGACTTACATTTTSTCCCATTCTTCTGTCGAYCTGCTGACRGTTTTCCATTTATTAGCTGCTTCATCTATTCTTCTTTGGAGAGGAGAATCTACTCTTGTACTTGATAGCTGTGTTATTGCCTCAAGCTGTGGTCGTCTAGTTTTCTCTTTCTCCTTTTGAATATTCTTGAAGAGAAAATTATGACAATTTTGATAAAATAAGAACCTCTTCTTTTTCTTTTCTTTTACATGTGACTGTAATTTTTGACACTGAATTGTGCGATCCACAATATAGTACACTTTAAAGTGCGTCGTTTTTTTCCTTTTCAAACAGAAAAGAAAAATACAGACAGTGCGGACGAAATTGTGCTTTACTAAGTCAGCAATTGCACTATAGCAGAAAATAATGGTGCYTTCCAGGAACAAAACAGGAATCAAAGGGATACGTACCGCTGGCGTTTACGTCTTTCGTGATGATTTGTTTATATATATAGTCTTTGCCAGGTTTTGGTTTGTTTAGTTTTAGGGGGTTTTTGTGTTGTTTTCTTTTTTGTATGTTTGTTTATTTGTTTGCTTGTTTCTTTGTTTCCGTTTTATCAGATACATGAATATCGGTCATCAATATTGAATATCTTGAATTATAAGATTTAGTGAATGCACCGACACCCTTTTTGAAATAGCAATTTACATGAYTGGTGACTCATCATTGTAGCCGGTAGTGTTCGTTTGGAAACATKAAAACTACTTACCCTAATGTCCTCTAATTCGGTGTTGACGTTAGACAGGTTTAAAGTCTCTGCAGACTTTTCGTCGATGTGGCGTTGTACTCTTTGTAGCCAATTTAATAAGTCTTTTAGAGTGATTTCTGCACTTTTCTGGAAGAATAAACAGCAAAACATTAATGTCAAATATATATGCCAATAATACACAAAAAGAAGCCTTCTTTTACTGGTTTTCCAAGCTTAAAAAATCATTTTTATCATTAACTGATGTGAGGACACTGATTGAGCGTTTTCTCTTACAGAATGCAACCATATTCACTTACTGAATGGCGGGAAAAGTAACATGGTCATCAATTGCCTGATTTTCACTAGCGACGCAAGAGCAAATCTCATGAGGTMTTATTTTATAGTGAAAGCTGCCAAACGAAGTGATAAGGCATGCAAGCTATCAAAATTTTCCCTTTTTTGCGCTTGYTCTTGTACTTTCGCTTGATTTTGCTAGTGAAAACGAAACACAGCGCAAGTGCGCTTGACCTTGCATCGCTAGGGAAAACCAGGCTAAAAGGACACTAGCAAAACGTCGTTTGTACGGTCTATTAATCCATAATTATACCTCATCAAGAATGGGAACTTTTTCTGTCTTGCCCGACCGTACAGCATTACTTCCATCAACACTCTCTAATAGATCGGTTCCTGGTGGTTGACTAAACTGTTCAGTTATACCAATAACTTCCTGGTCACCATCCTGCATCTCTTTTAAAAGTGTTTCAACATCTTTGCTGCCAGCCAGGGCAAGTTGGGGAAGCTTGGCCTATAATAGGATAATAGTCGATAGTAATCACAACCAATTCAGAATAAGAATAAAGATACCTTTAAAGTTATGCAGTATTTCCCAACTTTACAGTTGAACCTGGATGTCGAAATGCCACAGTTTGTGACAATCTGTCATCACCAATAAAAAGAACATGCCGAATTTAGTAACTATGGATTGCATTGCTTGGAAATTCTGTTGGCAATTCATATACATTTCATTTGTCCACACAACTGTTTCTTTTTAGAATTTGAATGGATTACTCTAGGAACACTTACAGATTTTTGGACGCTCTTTTTAGTGGATAGATCACAAACTGCTTATATTTCGAAAACGTCAAGTAAAACTGCAAAATGGACTCGCTTTYAACTTACCTGTTCTGGTACAGTGGTCTTAATCACTTTGACGTTTGTAAACACTTGTTCGTTACTCAATGCCTGTTTGAGATTCCAGTGGCGTGATCTCCAGAGAGTGAGTAGATGCTTATACTGAATTTCTAGTCTGGATGACACAAATGTAACAGAATTGTCATATCACTTCTTAAAGATAAAACCAATTAGYATCGTACACACCTTGTAGAAAAGTCTGTTGCTTCTAGATCTGGAGCAGGGATGACAAAACATACAGAAGGGATTTCTTTCTTTTGGCCTGAGCTTGTGTTCACCTGCCAGACAACAAAGACACATTTTAGAGGTTTCACATCAGAGTATTCAAGATGAGGGGCATTCACTCCATACACCTCTCCATTGCTATGGCAGCCATTTTGAATTATATATTAATATAATAAAAATAGACATTTTATGGGGTGCACTCAACGAGATTTCATAACTATTTATGTTTGTGCAACTCGTAGCAAATTGAAAACAACAGATTTCGAATTCAGTGCTTTGTCATAGAAAAATAGAACATTTTGATTTTAAAGACAAAAGGAAGCATTCATCTTCTTTCACATTTTGGACCAATTTTGGCAATAAGATGTATTTTCAAATTGCAGGGCAAATATTTTGGATATGGATTTTTGGCATATGAAAAATGAGGTGAATTCAAACGTCCGTTTGCAATTTGTTTTCATCCATTCATAGAGCAAGAGATGATTAAAAATTTCACTCATAAGGGATGTCAGTAGACCATGTCCCCTTCAGAATCATCCAATAGGGCATCCTATATTAAATCTTAAATTGAGTAAGAATGGATAGTAAAAATTAAGTAATCTTCTAATCAACAGATTTCAGGAAAAGACAAAAAGTAGAAATACGGTAGAGACAAGATGAGATGAACACCACATACAAAATGTTGTCTTGTTTGGTTATAATACCTTCCATGCATGATGTTCTGCATTGTCCAGCAATAAGCATTCTTCTCCTTTCTCCGTTACATTCTGTTAAAAAATAACATATAGTATCAACATCAAAATGGAAGGCATAACATAAAAAAAGAAACATATCCCTTTTACACAGCCAACCCAAAATACATAAAAATGCAAGAAAGCAAGATCCATGTGAAGAAGGCTCATATCACRTGTATTCTTGCCACATCTCATCAGCGCATTCATCTACAATTTAAGTATTTCATAAGAAACACGCACCTGCATATTCTTGTAGTTACAAACTGACTTCACTGGAGATTTTCCCTTTAGTTTTGCTTTTCTTTTAGGTAATGGGGACACTTGTTTACTTAAAAGCTGAAGCGAACTAATTGTATCTTTATAATCTATTAACTCTTGTTTCATTTCCTGAATCTAAATATCTAAATATCCGTATTAAGTATTTCATAAGAAACACGCACCTGCATATTCTTGTAGTTACAAACTGACTTCACTGGAGATTTTCCCTTTAGTTTTGCTTTTCTTTTAGGTAATGGGGACACTTGTTTACTTAAAAGCTGAAGCGAACTAATTGTATCTTTATAATCTATTAACTCTTGTTTCATTTCCTGAAAAGAAACATGTGAAAATAGGTAAGTGATGCTTTCTGGAAATAAGGACATGAAAACAGATTAGTAATAACGTTTCCTAGAAAACAAATGTGAAAATTGATAAGTAATAATACAATAACACTACTCAGGGTTCAATTGCCCTATTTCATTATGACGTCACAGTATGTTTACATGTACATCAGAAAACGATGCTCAAAAACAGCGGAAATTTGGACCCATTTATATTGTCGACTAAAGTAGAACTTCAGTGAATCGTGTTTTGATTTATATCATGTGTAAATGATTGCTCATGTACATTTTATTTGAAATGCAGTCACTCTGATCCCTTCTGGTGACCATAATCCTTAGCGTTGAAACAATAGAATGTTTTGATGTGATGTCATAATGAACTAGGGCAATTAACATTTGTTACACTTCCCACTTCAACAAATTCATTTTAATAATGGAACCAAAATAGATGAAAAWCACATTCTCATAATAACGCTCAATTGTGAAACCTTACAAATCAAAAGACCACATTAAATGGCAAAACTTTTGCCTACAACATAGCAACAACTGTTGTATGGATTAAAATTGCTTATTAGCCCTATGACAGTTGAAGCCATGTTGCAAGAATGACCTAAGCAAGTTACATTTGATGGTTGTAGGCAAATGTTGTGCTGTCTAATTTGGCCTTTGGTTGAAATTAAATTTACAACATATTCTTGAGAAAGTGAGATTGGGTTATTTTTGGAAATTCTATAGTTGAAAGTACATGTAGGTGGATATAGAGAACTTTAACCCATTCTCCAACAACAATTAAGCTAAGTAGTCATCCTTGGGACTTCTAAACTCTGGCAGTTAGCCTGCTTAATTTATAAAGGTACTTTTGTAGTAACTGGAGGGTCAAACAGGACTTCTAAACTCTGGCAGTTAGCCTGCTTAATTTATAAAGGTACTTTTGTAGTAACTGGAAAAACAAGTCTTTACATATGGCCCAAGGCTGTGAAAGGCTTAGGGCAATTATTCACTATACGAACTGACGTAAACCTTGGAAATAACTTAGAAATAACTTATATATATTTTTCATAGTTTTTGGGGTATATTTTTCATAGTTCTTTTTAGATTTCCATTTAGGATACCCAGACACAAATTGGGTGTCATCTTTTATAGTTATGTTAAGTGAATTAGTGTTTCTTTGTCGCTTTAGAGGGGGTAAAGACAAGTCTACAGATTTGCTGATTTAACTAACAACAGAGCCACTTGGTGGATAAATAATGCAAGGATTATATAAATTTACATAACCATGGAAACAATTTATTTTTATTAAATTGAGTTTTTCCACACAAAGTTTTTTTTCTATGGAAAAACTGAATGCTATATGCACATATGTAAACATCACTGTCATTGAACAGCATGACTATATTTACTAATGCACTGCACTAGCATTAGAGCGGATTTCGTATCAGTGGGACAAYGTTATCGCACGGTTACCGCACAGTTACCGGACCTGGCCTTCACAATTTTGGTGAACCAATGGGGCACTAGAATTTGGTTACAGTACGATTRCRGTTACAGTACAGTACTGTCCGTTTCCCACTCATACGAAATCCGCTCTATTTTAATAAAAGTACTGTATTTTACTTAAAGGCCTTATGTAACTTATTTTTATAGTTAAGATTAAGAATTAAGTAGAGTACATTGTACACTAAATAAAAAGGGTATATTTAGCTTTCAAAGACAGGATTTTTCCAATTATTTAAAATATTTTACCAATTGTACCCTTTGTGACTGCAGGGATTATCTTTTCAAAGTTATAATAAAATGTTATACAAAACTGAATAATATTAAGAAATCACATACGGGATTAMGATTTTGTCTAAATTCAAGCGGTTTTCCTGTCAAAACAACAAAAACTGCCATTTGCATAAGATATTTAACTACAATATTCTAGAACAAAATATTATAAGGAACTTCCTTCGTAGCTTGATATTATTTCAAAGATATAACTACAAAAGTAACTAGAAGTATACTTCTAGTAATTTGTGGCCTTTCAAAAAAATATATTCATAAATAGGATTGTATAAAGTTATATTATTCATACATGTATATTCATCAGTAAAAAAAGCAGTCCTCTATAAATTACATGCAGATTTAAGTCTTATATATTCATGCTGACGTGTATAGTGTGAAGAAATCGATAAATAATAAAAATATAGAAAAGAATAATATAGAAACTTTTTGTGAAGAAAATTACAAAGTTCGTGACTTTTACAGCAAAGAAGTCATGTTAGTCGGTGTTGCATTGCAACTTGTCATGTCATAAATTCGTTTTGACAAGTCTCATGCTGACCGAACTTGGTTCTATTTGAACGGTTCTTGGATTCTAAATCGCTAAATGTTACTATAAAAACACCACAAAACGGCCTATTATCGAATAATTAATCAAAGGTCGATATTTGAACTTATTTTGTATTAGAAACTAGAAGAAGTTCAGATACATGTAAGCTTAAGTTTTATATCCCGGAATAGCTTACAATGAAAATGTTAAATAAACACAAGTAGAAAACTATTATTCTATTTGTATTTGTCATGATTTTGATGTTCAATAACTGAGCAAAKTTTTGCTCGAAAAGGATTATTGTCTGTAGCTGTCAAATTAAAATTCGCCATGTGTTTTGCAAAGAGCTTCTTGGTAATCATGTCTGGATCGGAGGCGGTGGAGCGAAACATTATGGCCCACAAATGTTGTTTAGCATAAATACACGGCTCTAAGTTAATTTTGCAAAGATCTCCAACATCAAATTCTCCAAAAAAGTGACAAAATATTCATAACATAGTATACTGTTTGCGATTTAAGAGATTTAAAATCATTTTATCGCTATTTTAATTGAATAAAGAGGTGACTTCGCGCCAAGAAATCACTTAAATTTTTAAAAATAACTTAAAAGCATTCACGTGAAAATTGATTTTTCCACGTGTTTCTCACTTGCTAAAACAACGATTTTTATGTTTACCGATCTCACCTGTTTGAACTGAAGCATGTCTGTTATAACTTCTTTAAAAGCTGGCTCGATCTCGTCGTCCGATTCAGTTTTCGGAGTACGGAGGATCAAAACATAACGTTCTTTTGGTGTCACGAAAGGTTCATCGACATCTTTTCTAGCAAAAATATCTTTGACATAATCTAATGAATACGCTATCAAAAGTCCGAGCTGTGTTTGTCTAACAACAGGGAAAGCGTCTAGAGGAATATCTGAACGAAGAAATTCGTTATTTGCTGGAAGAACTCTTTCCCTCCAAAACGTTTGCCAGCGAGCGTCGTGGATAATTTGTTCATGGTCGAACTTCGAATCTCTAGCGTTCTTCCATAGAATTACATTGGCCGAATTGCTGTAAAGTCGTCTCAATGCAGTATAAATAGGAGCTCTACAGAGCATATTTTTTGTCCACGTTAGTGGAGACGTCCACAAACTCGTTTCCACGGAGTCTTTCCTCGRTACTAATCCCCGAGCCGCCTCGTCTTTCACAACAAAATATACAATTAACGCCAAAGATGTCAGAAGCACGAGAGTTGCACTGAATAGAATAAATGACAACAAAGGAAAAAGGCTCCAGTGCAATGCCACACACATAATACCCCTGCAACTTCTACGTTATCCAAGTATCACTGCGGAGAAATTATCCCGGGTAAAACTCGTACGTCGTCAACAAATCAAATTCGCGGGCAATGCGAAGAGCTAGGCCTTCCGTTCTTGCARACCTCACAATAACACAAGCAATCGGCGTACAWATATTAAATCCTATGATTACCAGACGTTTTTTTACTTCCTTGTGTCAGTATGGACGTTTTCTTGGATGCACTCTCCCAGTTCCAAGGATACCTGGCTTTCCAACTGACAGTTTCACAGCCACAAGCATGGCAAAACACTGCAGTGCCATTCAATCAAATTTCAAAGTTTCAACTCAACATCTAAGTAAATATCACATTCCTATGAAGGAATGATATGGTGGAATTCCTGATTCAGAGCTTGAAAACTCCTGTTGTGTTAAACACCAAAGAATCGATGGTAAATCGTCACGAAAAGCGGCGGATTGTAATCTGATCACTAGCCACGCACGATTTCACAAACGAAACCCAGCACAACAATGGCAGAGATACCGTGGGCGCTGAATTGCCAAAGTCAGTATGAAATATTTATGATTTACACACAAGTTAAACACTTAAAACCTGTTCTKCCTTTACAATAACAGATTGTAATTGTTTGCCTCTTATTATACTAACCACAATCCCATAAAATGTGAGAGATTGAGAAAAATGRAGGGTTTTTTCTYGGATYAGAATTGAAGCGTGACTTCATCGCGTGACAGAAAATGTAGTGTTGTGTTACGTTGTTTTCATGTGAAAAWGCAAAGAGTGTAGAACAGAYACGAAGTTTTTTTGAAGTGCATAAATATTTTTCCCATAAWGTCAGCTACAAAACTAGTGTACAATATTTTCAATAAAAATTTCTCGTGRCCATATCATAAGTCTTACTAAAAAACTGAAATTTAAACTATTATTGTAGTTTTTCTTTGACTAAAAATATACTTTTATCTTATTATTTTTAGCTGTTTTGATTTAGTGAAGCCGGTTAGAGTTTTACGGGTTACATAACTAGGATTCTATCCCGCTAAAAACGTTGACTAAATTGTAAGTGTGTGGTTTTGGGAACATTTTTGGTCAAAATATTGACTGGTCACATGATTAAATTGTGACGATGAACTCCAGGGCTCAGAAGCAAAGGAAAGATAGCCGTATTATTGAAAGCGATAGCCTCCACCGCCGACCAATCAACAAAACAGTTGTTCAGRGTATCGCACTTTTCGACTAGGTCACCTATGATCAGTATAATRGCACGAGGAAAATTCACAGTGGTTAAATTTCCCTTACGTGGCAGGATATTATTTGCAACCAATCAATTTAAATGTTCCAGAGACGTTTTCCAATGTAAAACTCCAGATAAATAACAAATCACAATCTTGTTGACATTTTAATAACATTTTGCAGCTAAAGTTGAATATTCTTGCAAAAATGTAAATAGCTTTGTTGTTGTCTGTAATCATGCGGTAAGAAGCCATCCACTTCAATTATTAAAGCGAGGACAACGCCCTTGMTTTCTGGAAAACCACCCACTCTAGAGCCCGATGAATTGTACCTCGGGAAACGAGCGATGTTGTAATGTTTACACGACTTTAAAGTTCCCTATGGCTTCCTCTGAAGGGATATTTAGGATAATACATATTTGCCAATACYTACCGATAGTTTGTCCAAGTAATGCTCTGCTGTCTTTCTGTCTGGGATGGCTTGTACATCGTAAACGTGGTTTAGTTCTCCTATCAATTTGACCATTTTTTGCTCGGCAATGTGAGCGTCTCGGAAAAACTGAAAGAATTTTATAAAAAAAATGGTTGATTTACAAGGAAAATAATAATAGGCATCCATTTATAGGAGTTGATATTTCATGCTAAAGTTACTTATTTCTCCTCTCATTTAATTTTCCGTTTTCGTTTATCTCTAATTTGCATTCACAGTTTCTGCTGTTCTTCCTCTCATTCACTTTTCTTCMCATTCAGTGGCCTTCGCCATTTTTCCCATTTCTCTATTTTGTTCTCCAATTTCTTCTCTTTTCCCATCTCTCATCTTATGTTTCAAATTCTCCTTTTCTTTTTGATCATTTTTTATTTTATTTCATCTCTCATGTTATGTTTMAAATTCTCCTTTTCTTTTTGAWCACTGTTTATTTTACTTCAAAGTAGGTTAGCACATGGACAGCCTCCAGGCCAACAACCTGTACCTGATGATAAATGTCTGCCAGTTTGAAATGTTCTTTGAAAGCTACGACAAGCTCATGTATCCAAGACCATTGATTTCTCATTGCACTCAGATAGGCCTGGACAAGAAAGATTAAAATCTCATTAAAACACTATAATTAGATGGACAAAGGACATGAAAACAATACTATCCATGATGTCACGCTAACCACGATCGTTTTTTTGGAGAAGGATCGGGAAGTAATATCCTATCATTTCCAATAAAATATAGTGTTCTACGAAGTAATCTTTTTCAGAGCCTTTCCCGGAGCGGTTACGGGACCTATTGCGATCAAATAGTCGTTTATAAATTTTTAGAGTTTTTTTTATGACACGTTTCCATGGTTGCGTCTGAGTCACCATCGCCGCTACTTTCTCTTACGGRCTTCCCGTGTCGTCCMAGAAGACAGGCTGCGACGTGAAACGCATAAACCCGTTACGACCGGAAAAGCAGAAATCTATTTGTCACAGCTAATTTTAGAGACACTCGGCTCGTTTATGAACTAAATGATTTGACCTTTAGCACTCAAAGACAAGATGTCTGGATAATGCTCGCCAAAAATAACAATAATAGCAATGCGCATGTCCCGAATCACTTGTTTTTTCCTGTTTAGTCTTTCAAAGCAGAATGYATAAATTGTATCGTGAAAACCGCACCTAATTGTGGGGCGCTCTTTTCTAGTCGAATATTAATCAATGGGAAGTTCTAGAATGCGGGYAGCGTTACTACACCGTCTGACCTTCATTTCGCACAGAATTGTGGGAGGATTTTTAAATCGATTAATCGATAGGCACCCAATGCATCACGGACCTTCAAATCCCGGTTAGTACCCAAAGAATTAACATTTTAACATTGTTAAAAGTCAAAGCTCGCCCCGGCTCTTGAAGACAAAAAAGGCGGCTAAATATATTATTTCCTTTGATTTAGACGAGATCTTGACATGTGTCTATTTTCAATGCAAAGCCAAACCTTTAAAATGACTACTATTCATTGCCGCCAAAATAATAGAATGAGTAAAGAAAACAAGCAAAGCACAGAGAAACTATAAAGGAAAATGTCATACAAAAAGAGAATAAACAAAACAAGCACGTCAAAAGCAAACAAACTCTGTCTGGGGACAAATTTCTTTTCCGTTTGACAACTGTTAGACTTAAGAAGTAATATGCCATATTTACCTCTATGGGTCCTGGAGCTGGGTGTTTGGATTTTATCATCGATTCGCCAGATTTCATAATATTCTGGTACTGTGGCTCATGCTCGCGTATCTCGTACGAAAGTTCCTGTGAACAATATAAAAAGCCATGACATTTTTACAATTATCAAACAATATTCTAAATTCGATATGCTGCACATGATGATGATGATGATAAGCGCAAGCATAAAGCTTGGTTTTCGCGACGACGGCACAAGCATAAGCATAAGGGAAAACACAAAGGAAGGAAGACAAAGGTACGACAACAACATTCATATACTTGCTAATTGCATGGCGTGCTCTTGACTGGAAATCAGGATTTATTCATATGAGCGAAGTTGGAGGGAACTACAATGTCTCCAACAGRACCATATAAAAACTTCTGGAAGCCAAACAGTTTTCTCACCTCGCCATACAATTTAAGGTCTACAAGATCGAGGTCTGTGCGTGCCCAGTCTCGTGACACTTCAGGYTCCTCTCGTTGGTTCATCCATATCAGCTCTTTAGTAGCTTCACTCATAAACTCTACCAGACTTTTGAGGTTTTTTAATCGATCTACTGAAGATGTCTGAAATAGAATGAAAAGTGTCGATTGAACCACAAGTTATATTAATGGGATGATAGAGAAGACTTCATTCGGACCATGTCCCATACAGGATTATGAAAGAAAGTTTTCTGTTAGTTTACTTACAAGAAGGATGATATATTCTTCATTTAATTCGACTATTTTTGGTTTTAAAGTAATATCTTCATTCTAAAAAAATGAAACAAGAATAAAACATGTAAGTATTCAGAACTAGAAACATCAAATCACGGTTTG